TATTGTTGTTGGTGTTAAAGTGCTATTGAGTCGATTATAACTCATAGTGGCCCTGTATAGGGTTCCAGAGGAGCTGCTGGTAGGTTTGGACAGCCAACCTTGTGATTTGAAGTCCAGTGCTTATCCTACCATGCAGCACCAGGATTCTCTGGCTCTGTGTATGACATTGTTGGTGTCTAATTGGAAGAGACTGAGTTTTGGTTCATTTTTTAACATCAAACATATCCCCATATAATGATCTAAAGATGCTTAATCAAGATTTTTTTATTGTTACTACAGGCTCTAGTACCAAACTCATAGTTGTGTATATCTTCCTGAAGGAAAAACTCTCTGTTCACTGTCAGCCCATCTCCTGCTTAGAGGGACATGGTTGTTAGGACTTCTGGGCATACGCACTTCTCTGTGTATGTCTCTGGGCACTGCGCTGGGACCATGAGCTACCCCTATGGGCACAATACTGGGGTACTTGAAGGTCATCGATACCACCATCAGATCTCCAGGATACTGCAGATTAATTTAGTAAGACATTGAAGTGGTATGTAGGGTCCTAAAGCAGTTAAAATTGTTTCAGAGATGAACCTAGCAGAAATCGCTTACTCATCCAAAGGAGATGGTCCTAAAGTGCTTTAGGGAAGTGCCACCTTCAAGGCTAATACCTTCTTTCCCTCCCAAAGTAGAATGTATTAATCCCACAAAGTCAGACTTGGAGAACACATTTAAATATTGAAATAATTGTCTACTGGAGTAGAAAGCTTCAGGATTCCTTGGATAAAATCTGCTAGATGGGAAACCAGGATATTTTGATTGAATGACTCTGAGTGGGCCCTTAGATAGTTGAGTTATAATGGATTTTAGTGGTCATTTGTGGTAAACTTCATGTTAAAGGTAAGTGTGTACTCCTTTTCAGTCATGTTAGCAAATAGAGCTATTAAGAGCAAGAATCTCATCACTTACCCTGAAGTTATCTAGCTTGACTCTTGTTAGGAATATCACTAAAGTGTCATATCTCACCAAAAGAAATGCGATTATAAAGGAGAAAACATTATCAGGTAGCCATGACAATGATGCAACTATTCCCCCAAAAGCTGTTTTTTACAATTTTTTTAATTTTATGGTTTTTTCTTTTAAGAAAAGCACTGTTCAATAGAATTATAATGGAAACCACATATATAATTGAAATTTTTCTAATGGTAACACTTAAAAAAAAGTAAAAAGAAGCAGGTGAATTTATTATAATAATTTATTTAATTGAATATAGAGTCCTGTTGTGGCGCTGTAGGATAAGCATTGGACTACTAACCCTGAAGTTGGCAGTTCAAACCTACCATCTGCTCCTTAGAAACTGTATGCAGGGTTGTTATGAGTCAGAACCAACTCAACAGCATGTAACAAGCACAACAACAACAATCTAATATATCCATAATAGTATCATTTCCACATATTAATATATAAATGATTGATGACGTAATTTATATATATTTGTTTCTTTTTAAGTCTTTGAACTTGGTGTATACTTTACACTTCCAACACATCTCCATTGAGACTAGCCACAATTCAAGCACCAAGTAGCCACATGTGGATGCTGCTGTTTTTAAGTGCTGTCAAGTCAGTTCTGCCTCAAAGTGTCCCTATATAGGGTTTCCAAGGAGTGGCTGGTGAGTTTGAACCACAAACCTTATAGTTCAAACTGACCTTGCGGTCCAGTGCTTTATCTCACGATGCCACACCAGGTTAGCCACAAATATATTATTCTGATGCACAGATTTAGGACATATTCATTTGGACTTCCAAATATTATTGAAGGAAATACATTAAGACAGAATTTTTAAAAAAGAGTTTGTAATACTTTCTGAAAACTTGTTGTTTGTTAAGTACCGTGAAGTCAGTTCCAACTCATAGTGACCCTGCACAGTGTTTCCAAGGCTGTAAATCTTTATGGGAGCAGAAAGCCTCATCTTTCTCCCGTGGAATGGCTGGTAGTTTCAAACTGCTGACCTTGAGGTTAACAGCCCGATTCGTAACCGCTACTAGAAAAGGAGAAATGCATATTGGAAATTACTTAACTAGATCATTATAGTAAATAGCCATCTGATTACATTCTATATATTCTAAGTCACATTGTCCACTCAGCTCCTCCCATGGTTACAGTGGCAAAAGCTCCAGGGCAGCCAGGACTCTCTTGAAGCGTTGTGGTAGAGGCTTACAGAATTTGAGACTTGTACATCACCCATTCATTATTCACTGTCGTTGGGTCAATTCTGACTCATAGTGATCTATAGGAGTCCTGGTGCAGCACTATGGAATAAAGCACTGGACCACAAAATTGGTTTGAACCACAAGGTCGGCAGTTCAAACTCACCAGCTGCTCCTTGGAAACCCTGTACAGTGTCACTATGCTTTGGAACCGACTTGACAGCATTTAACAACAACAGTGAGCTATAAGACAGAGTAGAACTGCCGCATATGATTCCCAAGGCTGTAGTTCTCCTGGGTGGCTCTGTGGGTTAATTCATTGGATTGCAAAGCTGTTTGAACTGTAAGGTCAGCGGTTCAAGCTCACCACCTGCTCCTTGGAAATCCTATACAGGGTTGCTATGGGTCAGAGTCGAATCGACGGCACTTCACAACAACAATCCTTATGGATGCTGACTGCCGCATCTTTCTCCTCAGAGTGGCTGATGGATTCAAACCACTGACTTTTAGGTTAGCAGCTAAGCACTTAGCCATTGAGCCACCAGGGAACCTTATGTAAGATGTTGTTAGTAGGGGTGATTATGTGCCATGGAGTCAGTTCTAAATCATAATGATCCTATATAGGGTTTCTGAAGCTGTAAATTTTTACAGGAGCAGAAAGCCTCATCTGTGTCCCATCGAGTGCCTGGTAGTTTTGAAATGCTGACCTTGCGGTCAACAGCCCTACTTGTAACCCACTAGAGAACCAGAGCTTCTTTATTTAAGATGTTGATGTTATTGTTGTTGTTAAGTTTCAGCCTTAAGCTTTAAGTCAACTTTGCAGTCCACACCAGGACTCCAAGAGTCAAATTTTATGGGGCTCCACCAGGGATCCTTGAGACTTGTACAGACTAGGTTCCCAAAGAACAAAGCACTGCTAGGATGACCATCTTTGAAAAGGAGGGGAAGACAATAACAACAACAAAAAGATCAATTATAAATCATTCATATTAGGTGATTCACTATAGAATTATTTGAGGTAAAAGTCTGTTTTCTAAGAAATTTCCTCATTTCCTGAAACCTTATATGTAAAATAGGAGCCCCGGGAGGTGCAGTGGGTTAAAGGTAAGTGGTTCAAATTCACCAGCCACTGGGGAGAAGGAGGAGGTTCTCTGCTTCCTTAACAATTTCCAGCCTCAGAGATCTTATGGAATGGTTCTCTCCTGCCCTGAGGGTCAAGGGTCACTAGGAGTTAGAATTAACTGGATGGCAGTGGGTTTGGGTTGTTGGCTTTTTATTTAAATTGTATGTTAATTTTATTGAGTTAGCATAGGCTTGTTTTTGCTTTTTCAAAGTTTTCTGATGAGTTTTTTGTTTTTGTGAATTGAGTGAAGGTTTGCAGACAACATCATCAGTTTTACATTCAACAGATCTTAAGCTTTGTTTGATCTCAATTAGTGCAATCCTCTCCATAAAACTACAGTTGTTCTGCTTGCTCCCTGTGGTTATCCATGTACTAATACCATCTTTCAAATCCTTACATATTTGTGAGATATAGAAATCTATATCCCACTCTTCCTCCCATACCCATTCAGCCTGTATCTCTGTCCATATGTCTACACATTGTTATTCCAATGTTGTGTATATATATCACTAGTAGAGCTCTGGTGCGAACCACAAGGTCAGCAGTTTGAAACTACCAACTGTTCCGTGGGAGAAAGATGAGGCTTTCTGCTCCCGTAAAGATTTATAGCCTCGGAAACTCTGTACAGGGTCACTATGAGTGGGAACCGACTCCACGGCACATAACCACCACCTGTAACCCCTTTAGCCCTTGCATACTTCCTGGTGTCTTCACCTATTTTCATTATTCTTCTGCCAACCTCCTTCTTCTTATATATTGCCCTCCTCATCACCTGAGTTAACTTGTGTCTAAGCTCTAGCCAGTAGCATACTCTCCTTTCCCTTCCAGTCCTGGTAACCATCAAAGAATGTTTCTTTTATTATGAAAACTTTTTCTTGAGGTTTTACAATATTTGTTCCTTTGTGATTGTCTTACTGCACTCAGCATGTCTTCCAGATTCATCCGTGTTATTCATGTGTTCATCCATGTGTTTCGCACATTCATCATTATTCTTCAATGTAACATAGTATTCCATTGTGTGTATGTACCAAAGTCTGTTTATCCATTCTTCAATTGATGTGCATTTAGGCTGCCTTCAGGATGGGTTGTTTTTATTCAGAGGTGTACTTAATTTGAAGTTTTAGAAAAATTCTGTTTACTTGCCCTCACATCTTCTTCAGAAGGAAAGAAAAACTCACTACCTGAAAGCAGTAAAATGTGGCAAGGAGAAAATAGTCATTGTCTTCATGTGGTGAAATATTTCTTAAAATATCACAAAGTAACATTTCAGCCAGTGAAACCTGAAATCCCTTTCTAGGGTTTATTAAGAAGTAGCCTTGGTAGTGTAGACCCAAAGGTCAGTAATTTCGAATCTACAAGCTGCTCCTCAAAAGGAAGGTGAGGCTTTCTGCTCCCATAAAGCCTTGGAAACCCTGTACAGGGTTGCTATGAATCAGATGTGACTCTGAAGCATACAGCCACCCAAGTATATTGGTTTTAGGGGGAGCAAAGGGAGGGAAAATGATGAAATCTAGAACATTATCTGCTGTTACTGAGATTTTTTTTTTTAATTAATAATGAGGTATGTTCAGTTTGTCCACCCTTGTCCTGCAAACTTAGGTGAGTCCATTTGAATTGTTTTTGTCTGCTCTTTCTTGAACAGATTTCTAAGTGATCTTTTTCATTTTTATTTTTTGGCACCCAGGAATTAAATAGCTTTAATTACTTGGATCTGTACAGACTTGCTGACCTCTTTAACCTCACTTTGTTGGAGAAGGCAGTGATCGATTTCTTAGTGAAGCATCTCTCTGAACTCCTGAAGAGTCGCCCTGAAGACGTTCTAACGCTTCCTTATTGTCTGCTTCAGGAGGTCCTCAAAAGTGACCGTCTCACATCCCTGAGTGAAGAGCAGATCTGGCAGGTAAGGGTACTCTGTATGGGTCCTCTTTTGGTCTTGAGATGGCATGACATGATAAACAGTTAAAGGATTGAGGAGCAACGGAGACAGTTTTATCTGGTGGTCCTTGTCCTGATTTGTTGTTTTTAAGTGCCGTGGAGTCGGTTCCGACTCATAGCTACCCTGTATATGGTTTTTGAGGCTTTAAATCTTCAGGAGCAGAAAGCCCATTTTTCTCCCCTGGAGTAGCTGGTGGGCTCAAACCAGTGCTTATCTAATGGAGTCACCATGCTCCCTGTCCTTGAAATTACTCTCCCTTGATAAGCAAGGAGTTGGAAACCTAAGTTTTTGTGGTTTAGATGTCTTAAAGGACTCAGCGTCACTCCGGGTATCACAGGTGAGGCCCTGCAGACCTTCACTGTGACCTCAGAAACAGTCAAAGGATTTTTTTTCCCCCTGACAAAAATTATTTCTTAAAATGGAGATGAAAAGAATGGTTTGTAAAGTAATAATCATGCATATTTAAGACCAGTAGAATCAGAATAAATTCTGGGCTTTCCTATAAACAGTTCACAACATTTCTTATGAATGTAGCTTAGATATCTAATGATACTGGAAAGTAGCTGGATATCTAACGAAATGACACTCTAATGACAATCTAATGAAACCACATTCTTTTTGCATTGCAGAGGGGTGGGGGAATCTCCTTCCTTACTTACTCTGCATTCATTGTCGTTTTCGCAAACTCTGCCTTTTCACCTGTCGTAGAATTATTTTTGTATATCCTTTGGCCAGGGGACAGGCGGATGTTTGTGTTTTGAAGTTGATCACTTCTCTCATCCCCAGTGACTCTTCTTGAACAACCTGCACATTGTCTTTGGGTGCGAGCAGTTAGTGCCCATCTTTCTACCTCTTGCGCTGTCCCTCTGCTTCTCTGAACCATTGGGTGGCCAGTTTGTGACTTCTAGAACTCTATACTCACAAGATTTTGTGATTATTTGAAATATAATTGTATATGAAATACAAGGGGAAGTATCAAGCCTTCTACTTGCCAATGAAGCAGTGAATTCCTTGTATCCTATCAAATCTTATTAAAGTACGTTGTGAAAGTACTTTAATTTTGGCCCAAATGAAGTCATATATAGCTCTTAATGTTCCAGTATCTGACTTCACTACTGAGGGTTATGTCCTGATGCCACCTTCTCTTCTGTCTATCGGCAATCAACAACTTTCCTTTTTATTGTTACTTCCAGCAGCGACAACAGGAGCTGTAGTATACTGAGGACTTTCTGGGGACCAAGCTCTTTATAAACTTACTGTTGTACCTCACAACAGGCCTGAAGGAGGGCTATTATCATGCCCCCATCTTCCAGGTGATCAAAGTGAAGCTTCCATGCCTCCCTCAGGGTCACAGGGGGAGCCAAGCTTTAAATCTAAGTCTAGTGACTCTTGCCTTGTCTCTCCACTGCTCCACACTTTGTCTAGACAAAGAAAATCTAAGAGGAGGGGGTGGAGAATTAAGCTGTAAAATCTTGCTTCTTATTAGGTATTTTATATATATATAATGTTTGTTCAGGCAAATGTTGAAAGTGCTGGTGAACATGAGTGTTTGGCATTTCAATTGTCTTCTACTCTCCCCTATAAACACAAATCACCAGAATTTGACTGGTCAATTCAAAAGGAGAGTAGCCAAATTTTGCTTCGCTTCCCAAAGGAAGGAAGACTTGGAATGAATTCTGCATTTAATTATTTCTAACTGAATTGAGATCTGAAGCCAGCCATCCTTGTGGTTTCTATCTCTCTCTGTGGCACGGTTGAAGGCATTGCCAGTGATCAACATGGTAATGTGCAGATTTCTGAATGTCAAAAAAATTTAATACTGTCCACTTAAGAGTTATCATAATTGCCTCACTAAAGGTTACTAATACTGTAATATAGAATTTCTTAAACTGACCTGCTGCAGGCAATATATTTTTTTATACTTGGTCCTCAAGAAAGAATTAAAAGACTTCCATAAATATTATCCATTTAAGCATTCATCAGGCAATAAGAAACTGTTTTTGCTTTATCTTAGTAAATAAGTAATTCCCTCATACTCAACCCAGTAGAGAAAAATCAAATCAGACCAGCTATATTGCCTCAAGTATAGTTAAGTTCATAATTTTTGCTAAGGTTATACTAGTAATGCAATATACCATGGAAGAATCTAATATTCAGCCCAGGGTGAAGATTGGGTATGCCAGAGGATTAGTGTCAGGGTGCTTTATAGAAGTGAAACTTGATGGACAGGCTGGAGACAGATCTACAGAATCTCATTAAATTGGTGAATTGTTCATTACGGAGCGTTCTCACTGTAATAAAGTGCTCATTGACTTTGACAAATCCCCATCCCATGTCTTAAAGAAGAACAGTGAAGCAAGGAGTGTTAGAGAAGAGAAAGGAAATTGGCACAAAGTAGGACAGGTAATAGAAAAGCTGACACAGAGATATAGTGCTATTTGATTAAATATGTGCAGGCAGTAACCTAAGTGTGAGCCCAGTAAACACACACATGCACGTTTATACATGTGGCTCTTCCTCTACCTACAGATAATGAAACCTGGGACATTCCCTGTTTCTATTCCCTATGAAATGTCTAATTTTCATTATTCACCAGACTTCATGAGGTCTGGGCCTGAAGACGTGTGATATGACCCTCCAAAGTATCCTTACTGAACACGCGCTTTTTACTTTTTCCTGATTTCCCTTATCCAATCCCTTTCTTTGATAAAATGTGCTGCTGGCTGCAATAACTATTCTGTGGCTCTGTGAACCTGTGAAATCCCTAAAGATTATGTCTTATATCCATTCTTTTTTTCCATCTGACCTTTTTCAACTTTATCTTAAAAGTTAAAGTCTTCTCCCTTTTCGCAGAGGGCTCCTGGGTCCCTCTTAGACGATTTTGTCTTTGCCTTCCATAGCCTGAAACTACTGGTCTGTTGCTTAACTTGCTCTATATTCAGAAGTACTACAAGAACTTGCAGCATATACACATCTTACATGTATAAGGACATAGAAATTCTCCCAAGAAATATTCTTTTCTTTTAATTCAGTTGAATTCAGCTAAAAAAATTGGGCCTTAGGTTTCAAGGCCAGTGATTTCTCAGGTTCCTGGGGAGAAGAAGCAGAGGTTATAGGGTCCAGAGAAAAGGGAGCCTGAAAATGAGCACGAAGAAGCACGGGACACGAGGTCACTTGAATTCGTGACCTGGCAAATCGCCACCAATTTTATTTTGTGTTGGGTTATAGTTCTAACTTAGGACTCCGTTTCAGTAAGGTCCTGTTGTATTTCTCCTGTTAGATTCAACGTATAGTTTCACAATCCTGAGATGGGTTTCTGCCATAAAAGGTGAAGTGAAATAATGAAACAATTTTCTACCACTACCATCTATTCAATCTCTTTCTTTTTCATTGTTGTTGTTGTTAAGTGCTATTGAGTCAGTTCCAAATCTTAGGGTTTTGGAGTGGCAAGTGGGTTTGAACACTGACCTTGTGGTTAGCAGTCTGTGCTTATCCTACAGTATCACACCAGCATAAGAAGTGCTTAATGATCACAGATATTGTTTTGTGTATTTGTTTCCCAGGGAAGTACAGTCTCTACCTCTTCTACTTCAGGTTCTCTTTCACCAGAATGAAAGAGAGGTTCTTTTCATGGGAATATAACTTATGGAAAACCTGAATTTAATGTAAACACTGATATTTGCTAGGAAGGGGAAAGGTGTCTCTAGCCATCATCAGTACATAGTGTGGTTGTTGTTGTTGTTAAGTGCCTTCGAGTCGGTTCTGACTCATAGCAACCCTATATAGGGTTTCTGAGGAGCAGCTGGCAGGTTTGAACTGCTGACCTTGTGGTTCGCAGTCCAGTGCTGATCCTACTCCTCCACACCAGTATTTATTGAGAATTACTAAATGCCCAGAACACACCATGCTGGTGTGTTGGGCAGAGTACACGTTTGTGAACTCCGGTTCCCACTCCTTGGCCTCATGCCAAGTGGGAGATACCTTTTTTATTTTAAACCATCAATCCAGTCCTCTGAATTATTATTTTATCACTTAAGTAGGAAAAACAAGAAAAAATATTTTTTAAATTGGTAGAGATAGTTTGTGGAAATAAAATGGACTATTTCTTGAGTACCATTTCTCTGTTATATATAGGCTCAGTGTTTGAAGCTGGATCCTGGATTAAAAAGCTTTACAAAAAAATGTAGAATGATTAGATTAGACCAATTTCATTGTGCTGCATCTCTGCAGGTGGAGCAGTTATACTTTTCCTTTAGTTACTAACTTAGTAACTTGTTTTCTACATTTAGTGGAGACTTATCTCAAAGCATCATGTTTCCTTATTTAGAAGAACAGTGCATAGGTCAGTACTGCTCTTCCATTACTAACCTTGGGGTTGAAGGGACCTTGTACTCATATTTTGAGCCCATCTCTGCCTGGACTTAAGTGAATAATAAGACCAAACAATGCAGTGGTCACATGATTGGCATCATGTGACCTAAACTAGGTCAGACCTTAACAGGGAAAGTCTATTCCATTATCATACTTGTGTTCCATTTTAGTTTGGCAAAGAGGGACTGTGTCTCCTGGTTTGGGGTCAGGGAAGATTCTGTCTACATTTATCTTCAATTATATGTTCCCTGAGTCCGGGTGTGGTACTGTGGGATAATGCACTGGACCGCAAGGTCACTTTGAACCACAAGGTCGGCAGTTCAAATTCACCAGCTGCTCCTCAGAAATCCTATCAGGATCACTGTGAGTCAGAGTCAACTTGATGGCACTTAACAACAACAACAACATATGAGGCAGAGGCTGCGGCTACAGTGTTTTGCCCATGCTGTCTTCTTATACTCTGTAAGTAATAAATAAAAATAATAATGCAGAGTTTTCATATTAAAATATTTTGAATGGGTAACAAGACATCCTTCTCAGTCTGTATTGTTGTTGTTGTCAGGTGCCATCAAGTCGGAACCGACTCATAGCAA